AGCCCTAATGTGACTGCTCCCCTCCATACCCTCCAGTCCTTAATGTGACTGCACACCCCCCATACCTTCCAGTCCTTAATGTGACTGCTCCCCTCCATACCTTCCAGTCCTTAATGTGACTGCACCACCATACCTTCCAACCCCCACATCCCTTCCAGTCCTTGGATATGGTGGGTCCAGGGTTCAGGTTCTTACTCTGTCCTCGTGGCTCTCTGACTGCACTCGGTTTAGTCGTCGTGAACTCTTACCTTGGGATTTTGGCCTCTTCATGCAGATGTAGATGGACATATTGAACATGGCGCCCGGGTCTGAGTAGGCCGGTGACACTCCGGTACAGAGGAGGGTGAAGGGCGATGACTCGGAGGACGTTCAGAGCCGTAGACTGGAATTTATGGAGGTGAGTAATCTCGGTGAACGTCCGCGGTGGAGATGATGAGACGAGGAGATCGCCAGAGATCAGAGAGAGGAAAGATGGTTAATAGATAATCCGGAAACTCCGTCACTGAACACCTTCCACTCGCCTTCATATATTCCCCAATTCCGAGGACTCCTGAGGTCACATTCACCTTCCATTCACCCTTCATATATTCCCCAATTCTGAGGACTCCTGAGGTCACCATTCACCTTCCATTCACCCTTCATATATTCCCCAATTCCGAGGACTCCGGAGGTCACTGAACACCTTCCATTCACCCTTCATATAATCCCCAATTCCGAGGACTCATGAGGTCACCATTCACCTTCCATTCACCCTTCATATAATCCCCAATTCCGAGGACTCCTGAGGTCACTATTCACCTTCCATTCACCCTTCATATAATCCCTAATTCTGAGGACTCCTGAGGTCACCATTCACCTTCCATTCACCCTTCATATATTCCCCAATTCCGAGGACTCCGGAGGTCACTGAACACCTTCCATTCACCCTTCATATAATCCCCAATTCCGAGGACTCCTGAGGTCACTGAACACCTTCCATTCACCCTTCATATAATCCCCAATTCCGAGGACTCCTGAGGTCACCATTCACCTTCCATTCACCCTTCATAAATTCCCCAATTCTGAGGACTCCGGAGGTCACCATTCACCTTCCATTCACCCTTCATATAATCCCGGGTTCTATAAAAGGGTTAAATATGAACTGTTTTGGGGAAGGAAACTGGGGTATAGGACCAGTCACCAGTATTGTCTGAGGTCCTATCAGCTGATCGGTCCCCATCACTGACTTTGTTCTGCATTGGGTCTCTGTGTGGAGGCGGCCATCTTGGTAGAGGCGGGGCTTTGCTTCCTCATGTCGGAGCTCCCTTGATGACTGGTGGGGTAATGATAGAGATGAAGGAAGCACACATCCACATGGGGGGTGCATTGCTGTAACCACCACGTCTCAGGGCAGGAAGGTATTGGTGTTGCTGTAGCCACCACGTCTCAGGACTGGTAGGTATGGGGGGGTTGCTGTAGCCACCACGTCTCAGGACTGGAAGGTATGGGTGTTGCTGTAGCCACCACGTCTCGGGACTGGAAGGTATGGTTGTTGCTGTAGCCACCACGTCTCAGGACTGGAAGGTATGGGTGTTGCTGTAGCCACCACGTCTCAGGACTGGAAGGTATGGGTGTTGCTGTAGCCACCACGTCTC